AAGAGAGACAGGAGCCGCAAGCGATGCAGGGAGCGGGCTGCTGGAAGGGAGGGCAGTTAAGGCAGGTGCTTCGATGATGCCTCCCCAAGAACACGGCCCCAGGGGCCAGGCCATGCCCGGCGGGGCTCACCTCCAGTTTGGCGAACTTCTCAGCTTTGTAGCAGGCGTACTCCGCGTTGATCAGCTTGGTGAGCAGGAACTCCTGGAAATCGGTGCCCTGGGGACCCGCCCAAGAAGGGGTTAACCCCGAGCCCCCCGAGGTCCCAGCTGCACGCTATACACGGGACCCCGCTCCTGCCTATTTGGGCTCTGACCCACCCAGCGCTCCCCACTCCGGCGGTCCAGGCAGATGAGCGGGTGCATGTTGGCCCGTGTGACGGCCGCCGGCGCCTTACCTTTCTGAAGATGGCTGGGTCGGGCAGCGGGGGGCCGAAGAAAGGCACGTCGTCCCGGGCTGTGACGGAGACCTGCAATGCACGGAGCGCGGCCACGGGGCTGTTGGTCTGGCTGAGGGCAGGTCGGGATGCCCATGCAAGACGCCTTGATCCATAAGCTGCCTAGTCCCTAGCCTCGGTGCAACCAGAAAGGCCTTCACAGAGCCCGGGAGGAGCCTCTCGTGGACCCCCAGCTGCATCGCCAGCAGGGCCCAGCCCGTCGGGGCTCTTCCTCCAGGCGTTACTGAGACCCCTCAGCAGGGACCCACAGCAGGTTATCTCCCCTCTCGGGGCTGTTGAGAGCAGACAGCCCGGGGTGCCTCTGGAAGGAGGTCCAATCCCTGCCAGTCCCCCTGAGCCAGTGCCAGACTGGGCTGTGCCAGACTTTGGGCTCAAGAGTCTTTGCAGCGCCTGGGCTTGGTCTCCAGGCAGCATTAGGAGGGTGCAGGGTGGTGGACAAGGCTCTGTTATCCTTTCCAGGCTGGGAGGCAATGATCGCCCCTTCTGCCCCTTAGATTAGGACTCAGAACTCTTTACGACCAGGCGTACTGTCATCCTCCCAGGGGGAAACTGAGGCACGGATAAACAGGCACACACGCTCTGTCCCACACACCAAAGCAGTGAGCAGCAGGGCTTGAAACAGGACCCAGGAGTCCTGGCTTTCCTATCCCCTGCCAAAATGAGCAGACCCCACTCTGGTCCCAAAGTCCTTAGGAGTCCTGAACCCCTGCTCGCGACGCAGCAGGACCACCTCCACTGCTCCCTGAGGCCGGGGCTCAGGCCCTAGGTCCCTGCTGCAGGCCAGACCTGGGTGGCATGGGGGGCCGGGCCCGGGTCCCGGGCTGCCCCGCGGGGGCCCTCACCTTGTAGAGGGTGTTGTCGGAGCAGGGGCTCTCCACCTGCACCACGATGTAGGCGTGCAGGAAGTTGGAGGCGATCATGTCCGGCACGAATGGCGTGTTCTCGTCCTGGAAGACGATGGCCACGATGTCGTTGCCTATGTGCCTCTTCCTCTGCAACTGAGTGCACGAGCAGGGGGGTCATTTTCCAGGCTTGGAGGGGAGCTTTGGAGCCCCAGCGCTAGCCCCGACAGCAAGCTGGGGGCCCAGGCCACCCGGGTGAGGTAGGGGCAGGCTGGGACGTGTGCCAGGGAGACTGGGGGGATGCTGGAGGGCCGAGGAACAGCAGGGTTTCCCCAGGTCCCCGCCCCACTGCCAGCCTGACCCCCTACTTCATCCCCAGGCATGGCCTTGGCCTCTCACAAGCTGAGAGTGACTGTAGCACGCATGTTTGGGTGTGCACATAAGTCACGCATGTGCGGAACGGGGGCTATGCTCACCCCTGGGAAGGGGTCAGGCTGGCTGGAGCAAACCCTTGCACACATGTGCAAGCACACGTGTGTGCAGATTGTGTCAGGCCCGGTTGCGCTCCCCTACCTGCTGGGCGTCCCCCTCGGTGTAGGGCAGCTTGGTGGACACGTGGAACATGATCTCCTTGTTGCGGAAATTGCAGTAGACCGACTCGGTTCCCGTCTGCCCGTGGGTCACGTCCAGCCCGCCCCGGAACCTGCCCCCGGGCACACACGGGCCTCAGGCGGGGGCCAGCCGTCCGCAGCCCCCTGCCCACCCACGGCGGCAGAGAGCAGCGCCAGGCCCAGGTCAGCACCTCCGGGACGATGCCGCCCTCCCCTGCGCGGGTCCAGGCTGGCGGGGGCGGAGGGAGCTCGCTCACCCCTTGAAATCCTGCAGCTTCACCTTCTGGCCCAGGAACTCGAGGAACTCCACGAAGGCTGGGCTCTCCTCGTTGGTGCTGAACAGCTCCTCCTCCGACGTCTGCAAGAGCCCAGCACACGGAGGGCTTGCACGGGGGCCGGCAAGCTCTGCCCAGGGCCCCCCTGGCTGGGAGCGGGGCTGGAGGGGGAGGCCAGGCAGCCGCCCAAGGAGCTGCTGGGAGAGATGCTTCTTGCGGGGCAAGGATGGGGAAGGAGACCGTCTGCATCGTCCCCGGAGCAAAGTGTGGGGGAATTGGAGTCTGCTGAATGAATCCACCCTCCCACCAGCTGCACAGGGCCATTCCTCAGCTGGGGAAACTGAGGCACAATGCCAGAACCTAAAAGCTGGCATCCCAGGGCAGGGCAGGGACCTGCTGTTCCAGGCGGGCTCGGCCCATGGCCATCGGGCAGCGAGCAGGCCTGCCTCCGACAGTCCACGCGGCCCCGGAGAGGTTCACACACAGCCCCCAGGCTCCTAGTGCCGGCGTGCAGCAGCGCGGCTGGCCGCCTGGAGCACGTGGGGCCAGGATGCGCGCAGCCCCCGGCCATGCAGACTTTGGTGGAGAGGGAGAGCACGCCCTGGCTGCGGTGCCGAGTACCCCAGTGAACCTGACCTCCCTCCCTCCAGTCCCTGCAATGTCTTGGCAGAGAGTTGCTTAGCTGCTGGGCCTTTCCCATGTCTCCCCGGGACCCTCGTGCTGGTCTCGGGAGACGTGGGAAAGGAAGGTCCCTATCCTGCACCTTGGAAAGACGCTTGCAAAGGGCCAAGCAGGGTCCCTGGCCTGCAATTCCCAGCTGCAGCTGCCAGGGGGTGCTGCCACCCTAAAAAAGCCTGTGGGGGGGCACAGGGGGCCGGTGGCCATCTCTTTAACCCTTCCTTTGCTGGAGGGGTCCTGGCCTGCTGCCCTCGCCGCTCAAAGGGTTGGTAGCCCCAGTGCTCACAAACACCCGGAGCGGTGCCAGGCCCCAGGGGACCGGTCTGCCCCGGCGGCGGCTGCACGCACCCACCTGGCCCAGCTTCTGGTAGATGACACCGAACTTGAAGTTATTGCTGATGACGTGCTCGTCGAAGGAGACGATGAGGCGGGAGGCCTGCAGGACAGGGGGAGGCTGGTGAGTTCATGGGCATCGTGCTAGCAAGAGGGACCCACCTCGGGGCCGGGGTGGGGGGCACGCGTGTGCATGTGTGCACGTGTGTGCAATGGGGAGGGGGGCCCTGTGGGAACCAGAAAGCCCGTATTTGTTTCTGCCCGGGTAAGGGGAAAGCTTCCACCTGCTCTGGCTGTTCCCACTACAGAGCTGAGCCCTGAAGCTTGTGCCCCCTGCCTACCTTTGGGTACAGCACGGGGTAGAAGCGGTCCACGTTCACGTCCTCGCACACCAGCTGCAAGAGGAGAGAGTGGGAAAGGGCTGGGTGCATGTGCGTGCCATCACAGGGGACCCGCTCTGCTCTCCCACCCCAAGGTCACTTGGGTTCGCCCCTGCCTGGCTCTGGGTGCCGTCCACAGCACCCAGGGGCTCCAGAGCTGCCCCGGGTCTGGTGCATCGGCCCTGCCACTGCCCATGCTACCCAGACAGGGTCGCGGGCTGGACACACAGCCCTGGGCCGCGAGTGCCCTGGGGTGGGCAGGGAGGCCTGGGACCCCTGGTCTCAACCCCGAGGCTGGGAAGGTGCCCGCTGGGGTCTGGCTGAGCACGGCCCGAGGGGACCCAGAAGAAGGGCCACAGGATGTGGTCCTCCACAGTGCCGCGAGGGTGCCGGGAGCTCCCCGGGGGCGCAGGACATGCCTTGGCCATCTGCACAACGTTGGGGAACTCGGTGAGGCAGGAGATGGGGATGACGTCGTGGTACGTGCGGCTTTTCGTCCTGCAACAAGAGACGCGGCGTCAAGGGCCACCCAGGTGAGGGGGCCAGTCCCAGTCCTGGGGTGGGGGACACCCCCTCACCTCCCCCCCGCCGTGGGGTGCAGCCCCCGCCCCGCGCTCACCGCAGCAGCAGGCGCAGGTGCTCCTGGTCACCGATGACGTCGTACTTGAGCGAGAAGACGAGGTGCCCCAGCGCCACGTCCATGGAGTAGTAGTTGAAGTGCTCCTGGGGGGAGACGGCAGGCGAGGGCCTGAGGGGCTGCCCCCCCGCCACACGGCCCACCCTCGGGGCGGCCGGCTGGCCTGAGGGGCAAAGACCCCCTAATCCCACAGCTCCAGGGTGATGCTGAGCTCTGCGGCCCTCAGGCCGGCTTGCTGAAAGCACCTTGGCTCTCCGGGCGGGCTGGGGGTGCCCTCGGCCTGGGGAATGGAGATGATTGATGGACTAGGACCAGCTGAAGCAGCCCTGGTGGATCTCTCAGGGGGCCGAGGCAGCCCAGGCAAGGGGCTCCTAATGGGCTTTGGGAGCTGTGGGATTCACCCCGCAGCACAAGCTGCCCCATCTGGGATCTCCGTGCAACGTGCCAGCTTGATGGGAAGCGTTTCCAGCGCTCAGAGGCGAGGACGGGGGCTTGGGGAACGGGTCCTGCACCGTGCTGCATGGCCTCCCATCAGGCAAATCTGCATTTCTGTTCCTGCCATACCCCGGCCCCGGGCTGTGCCAACGAGACCCCTGATCACACAGTTAGGTCCTGCAATCCCAGAGCCTAGCATGGACAGAGCCAACGCCAAGGAGGAGCCGAACAGCATGGGGAGGAGAGGCGGCCAGGGCGATGGAGAAGCAAGGGAGCTCGGCATGAGCAGGAGGGGCCCAGCAGTGCAGCCAAGGGGGCCGGGGAGCACCGGGCAGGTGATGCCTGCTGGCACGGCCGGGGTCAGCCCCCTCCGCGGGAAACAGCGCAGAGAAGACAGGCTGTTCCCAGCATCTCGGCAGCCAGATGCATAGCAAAGCCACAGTGTGCAAGTGCAAAAGCAAACAGCATGAGATCCTTGGGCAAACACAGCTGGGGCCAGGGCTGCTAGGGAAGCCCCGGCCGGGCGCTGAGGACAGGCTGGCGTGCCAGCACACGGCTCTTTCACAGCAGCCCCGGTGCTCAGGCGAGCCAGGGGTCCACCCGAGGGGGCTCGGACAGGGCCCAGCTGACCCCTGGGTCTCAGCAGAGGTGAGAGCAGAAGGAGCAAGCCCAGCCCTGCACTTATACCCTGGTTTGGTCCCGCTCCATTCACAACAGCCCTCTCCAGCCAGACACCCACCGACCAGGGCGTCTGCCTCACAAGTGCTGGGGGGAGCTCCCTGGGGTCCTTGACCTTCACTAGAGCCCCATTAAGGGTCCCACAAGCAACCAGACCGGGGCAAAGCCCCAGAGCCGGGAGGGCTGGGGACGAGACCCGCCAAGGGGCAGAGAGAACGGGGGTGGCCTGGACCATCTCCCTGCCTGGGCCAGGCCCTGAGGCAGGGGCGGGGGGTCTCACCTTGCCCAGAAAGTGCTTCCTGTAGATCCTGGCCGTGTGGTTACACTCCAGCTTGACCTTGGAGGTGGGAGACTGCAGCTGCTCGGTTTCGGGGACGCTGGTCAGCTCGTGGCTGGTGCCTTCGATCCAGTAGCCCCCGAACTGCGGCAGCAGGATGAGGGGGAACGGCCCCTCCCGGCCCAGCACCTGCGGGACGGAGAGAAAGCAGTGAGAGCCCCCCAGGCCCGCCTGCAAGCATGCTCTGCCCAGCTCACGAGGCCCCCACCCACCCAGCCAGCTGCTCCCCGGAGAGGCAGTGAGGGCCAGCAGAGCACCGGCCTGGGGCTGTGGAGCCCTGAGTTCGACTCCCTGCTCTGCCACTGACTTCCCGGGGACCCTGGGCAAGTCACTTCCCCTCGAGCCTCCTCTGCACTTGGAGCTGTAGCAACAGGAAACTCTAGGAAGAGCCACGGCTGCCATTAGCAACGTAGGATGTAGCCCCTCCTGCAGGCCCAGTCCCGGGGGCCTGGCAGAGAGGAGGGCGCTGGCCCGTGCTGGCCCCGCAGCAATGCAAACACCCTGTCCAAATACCCAGGCGGTGAGGGGCAGCGGCATGGGTACCTCGTGGACGCTGGGGTAGGGGATGTAATCCTCTTCTGTCTGCAAGGCACAAACACAGCAAAGGCTCAGAGAGTTGGGGATACAGCACAGCTTCCTTCCCCCTGCCCCGACAGCATGCACCATGCATGCCCCTGCAGGGTCCTGGCTCCATCACCCAGGCTTGGGTTCCCTCCTAGGACCTGCCAGTGGCAGGAGGACAGCTGAGGGCCTTAAAATCCAGCCCTCCATGTGTCCCCAGGGCTCCGTGGCAGCAGAGCTCAAGTGGGTTACCACCAGGGAGCCCCCACCGTACTTCAGCAACAGTGGGAGCTGTAGTGTAGACAGGTCTCTACCGCGGCTGCAGCTGCTCTGGTGGGGAGTGGCAGCCCCAGAACAGGAGCAGCACGTGGCATCACAGGAGACACCAGAGCTGGACGGGGGTGACAGCCACAGCACAAGGCCTGACCCAGGAGACACGAGAGGCATCACCCTGCCTGGATCTGCCAGCAAGGACTGGTGCCTCCTTGCATGAAGCCAGCCAGCCCATTGCTCAGATGGCATCATGTGCCTCCCTGGCTCTTGTTCAAGTCTGAACATTCAAATGAGAAGTGACACTGATGCAAACATCAGCACCGCCATGGCTGGCACGAGGTCAGATGGCCTCCCCCCGGCCAGCGGGCTGTGCAGCCCCACCCCGGTTCTGGGGTCCCACGTGCCTCTGCTTGTCTCTTTCCATCACTTTCCCCCTCTCCCGCAGACAAGGCACTACTCTGGCCTGGCCTGGAAGAGGGGATGGCTGGCACGGACCCAGGTCCCAGCTGCAGCCACTCTTTGCTGGGCAAAAGCCTTTTGCATCCTGAGCTCTGGGGTCAAATCCTGCCTTGGGTTGCTGGACAACATTAGATGGTGCCACCTGACTGCCCACGGGGGCACCTACACAAGTGACGTGGATCCAACAGTAGGAAGCCTCTTTGCAGGAGAGTTTGGGGTGCCGTGGGGGGGGACTAGCAGTGTGTATATCGGGAGCTCAGCACCATGCAATGCTGTGTACCAAGAGTGGTGCTGAGGAGCAGAAGCAGAGGGCACTGGGGCAGATCGGGCTTGACCCCAGGGCAGCAAGCAGCACCCTCAGCACCTACCTTGAGAGGAGGAGGGAAGGTGCATCGCTGCTCGTCCATTCTGCTTCCCTGGGGGAGACAAGGGGCAGAGAGTCAGCGTGTGGCACCGAGCACAGGCCTCTCGGGGGATCAGGGCCTGTGACATGTTTACTCTGCAGGCGAAGGCCAGTTCCTGCTTGGCATGGCTCCGGCAGGCTCTGGGCGTGGGGGCAGAGGGGGAAGGGAGCTAGCAGCTGGCAAAGGAGCTGCCAAGGCGCGTGGTTGCCATTGTTTTGTCTCACATCCGTGTGTGCAGGTGGCAGGGGCTGTCTGGGGGTGCTCACATGTCTGCACCACCCTAGCGAGGCTCGGGCGCGGCACTCGCAGGTGGAAGCACCTGCCCGTCAACACTCTCCGCAGAGGTGCCCGTGTCCGTAGCAGATAAGCTGCCACGGCACTGAGGTGGGAAGGGGGCGAGTCCTTGGGCTCACACCCCCGAGCTGCCAGGAAGCTGCAGGCTGGGGCTTGGGGCCCAGACCCAGAAACGCAAGCCCTCCTTGGGCCATCACCCAGCGCCCGGTGCTGCACTGTGATGGGGTTTGTGGCCTCCGGGTCTGAGGCTGCTGAGCTGGGACAGCTGCCACCCTGACCTGTGCCAGTCCCTGGGCTCGCCCTGCCAGGCCTCTCCTGGGCACAGAGCATCCGGGACAAGCATGAGCCCAGCTGGGGAGGCAGAAGGAAGGAGCCCCATCCAGCTGCACGAGCAGCCTGTCTGCGCTGCGGGGCTCTGGATTTGGGGGCTGTGGGAGGCGACTCACCTGCATCTTTTCAATCATTTCAAACAATTCGGTGTTCTGCAAGAGAGAAAGGAGTGTGTCAGCCAGTGCAGTCGGCCCGGCCCCCGCCCCACAGCCCAGCTGCCATTGCAGCCCTGCACGGGGCCAGAGGACTGGGCCTGGCTTTGGGGCATGCATGAGGCTAGGAATGGGGTAGGAAGCACCAGCTTGGGGTGGACAGAGGTTTGGGGACAGCCCGGAGTGTGGGGGAGCCTCCTGAGGAGCTTCCCAAGCAAGGTCAGCCCCAGCCCCACCCTGATCCCAGCGGTCAGACCCTAGAGCTCCCAGAGGTGCTGGAAATGGGAAGCCCCAGAGGCTTCAGCTGGTGCGAGATGCACATCGGCTCGCTCAGTCGCCCAGGGACGAATCTCCAGCCTCCTGCCCCTCGGACGGGGACAGGGCCCTGAGCCCCTGGCAGTGCAGAGCTGCCAAGTGAGCAGGTGCCACGCGGAAGGGCACACACAGGCACACACGTGTGTTCAGCTGCATGCACACCCCCTTCCCTCGCCATCATGTAGAGAGGTGTGAGTGCACCCGCATTCACACAGGCACACAAGGCTGCAAGTGCACACCTGGGCAACATGCACACACATGTGCACATGGCTGCTAGTTCTCACACGCACATACAGACATGGCTGCAAGTTCACACACGTGCACACATACACCTGCAAGTTCACACACGCATGGACATATACATACACAGTGTATATTATGTGTGTGTGTGTGTGTATAGCATGCACATGGCTGCTAGTTCTCACACATACACACACAGCTGCAAGTTCACGCATGCAGATAAAAGTTCGTACACACGCGCACACACAGCTGCAAGTTCACACACATGGCTGCTAGTTCTTATACATGCACATACACACGTGGCTGCAAGTTCACACGCACAGCTAAAAGTTCACACGCGCACACGTGCACACACACACGGCTGCAAGTTCACAGTCACACGCACACTCCTTGCACACAAGCGTCTCCCACGGGCAGGGCGCACCTGCACACGCACACGCACACGCACACGCGCCCCGGCCCCGGTACGCACGGTCCAGCCGTCCCCGGCCGCGCTGTCCCGGCGCCCGGCCATGCTCCGCTCCGCTCCGCTCCGCAGCACAGCGCCCGGCCCGGCCCGGCCCGGCCCGGCCCGGGGCAGGAGGAGGAGGAGGAGGAGGAGGCAGCGGCGGGG